ATTATAGAATACAGCCCCAATATGGTTTTGAGCTTCTGAAGAAGCGTTATGCGTAATTAGACATATTTTCAAGTCAGAAAACGAGAGCACTTTTGGGAACTTATAGTTGAAATGCGTGTTGGACGTGAATTGATTCACTCCTCAGTCAATCAATCTTTCTGAAGACAAAATAACGTCAGAACGACCTGAACAGAACTTTACTGATATAACATTTCACAGTTAGGCCGAGTCTACCTTACATTTTTTAAGAAGAGAAACCTGTGAGGCGGCACAGATTAAAGGAGCAAGTATGGCTGTTTCCTATTATCATTTATTTATCTAAGTATTTATCACTAGCGAGACAACGAACTGCGAAAGCATTTCCCAAGAATGTCTTTCTTAATCAATTAAAGTCAGAGGTTGAAGCGGTTGGATATCGTTCTAGTTCTGACCGTAAACGATGCTGATTAGCGTTCCGTTGGCGGTTAGTACGCCTGGACGGACAGCTTCCCGGAAATAAAGTTTTTCGGTTCTGAGGGAAGTATGGTCGTAAAGGTGAACCTTACAGAAATTGACGGGAGGACACTAAAAGGAATGAAGCCTGTGTTTGACTCAACACGGAAAAAGTCTAAAAAATAAGGGTGTGGAACAATGGCTCTTACGGTTGACCTGAATAATTCAAAATTTCTAGTATATGGCTATTGCAACAAGGCTGGTGGTGCTGAAGGAAGTTAATAACAGAAGTGAGGCAGTATAAAAAAGTAGTGCTTGGAGCCATCGCTGGAAAAATGTAATAAGAGATATTGATGGGTCAACTTTACTTGCTTTTGGGCACTATGACATCAGAAAAAATGCATTTGTAGCACATTAAATAAAATATTTCTGAAGTCCAATTTTTTTCATTGTGAAGTTCCCTCTTTGTCCTTATATTGCATTAAGTTTCATTATCAAAAAAAATGTATATGGATGTCACCTGTCTTGATTTCACGCTCATGGGAACTTTGACATTTGACTGATGAATTATATCAAAAAATACAAAACAAAGTTAATGTTATGATCACAAAGTGCAATTTGAATTTATACAATTCCTGAAGAAGTAAAGTTTTTTAACAAATTGCCAAAATCGAGTATTACAGTTTAAAAAGTTCAAATGTGGTCAATAAAGTGAGGAGAAAGTTGTGACCACAATTCAATAAGGACATTAGTAGTCACAAATATATCTGTGAATCTGAACGCAACTTGTTTACGATTCAAAAAAATACAATTAAAGTCAAAAAATTAGATATAAATCTTACAGTACGATTATTGTCAGAAAAAAGAAAAAGACAAAAATAAATTGTGGTCGAAGTTTAAAAAAAATAATTTTCATTACAAAATAAAACATAAAATAGAAAATATGAACAAAATATGCTCGCAAGAATCAAACAGGAAGACATGAAAGTGATGTGACCTTGTCGATGAAG